AAAAAAAAACAAAGCCACGTTGTGCTAAGCTATACTCCATCAAGGCTGCTTTGCAGTCGCTTAAACGAACTGCTGAACAGAGGCATTTTTGTCAAGAGAATTCAACAAGTTTCAGGGGCCAAGACAAACACACAGATTGAGAAGCCGTGTTAAACCACGGAGGCACGAAGGAAGTGTGGCGGTCTGAACGCTCAATGGAGAAAAGTCACTTTGTGAGGACTTTCTCCTGCCCCCTACATTCCTCTGGTCGAGATCATATGAACCGTATAGAACGTGGTAAAGGAGTAACAACCAGTCAATCGCACAATGCCTTTTTCCGCAAACTTGCCCTAATCTCATTTTATGTCAAAGACTACAGAAGGACATTAGCCTTTGTAGCCAAATCTGGCCCATTTTTAAAATCTTAAAGCTTGGGTCCTAAAACATTTAATTCTCCAAGATTTTTCACCATTTCCATTTTCCATGATGATGGCAGAACAGAAACAACTTCTTCTGTAACCTGGATCATCTATGGACTCTGCATCACCCAGAATGAACAGTTTGTTTTGACAAGGCCCTGACTTGCTCCAGAGTTTTTTTTACTGCTCTTATTTATCTACTGTAAGACTATTAACAGTTACAAATATCATAAAACTAATTCTATCTCTTAAAAGTATTGCTAAACACAATTTCAAATGCTATAACAATGGGTGCCTAGTAGAGAAATCTTTACTAATCAGACAGCAAATTATCCGTTTCAATCTGGGTTTTCCAAGCATTGTATTGTACAAACTGCCAAACTCTGTCTTATTAAAGCTATATAAAGATCTACTTGACCTCAGTTTTGATTCAGCCTGGTGAGAATTTTGCTCAATAGGCTTATAGGCATCCAGTCTGGGCTGGTTTTCCTCTCATTTAAACAACTGGTTTTTCTACCAACACCAGCAGCTCCTCTTCTGTCAACGTTTACTTGATCTGTGGTGTTCCTCAAGTTACTATACTTGGTCCCTTGTTGTTTTCCATTTATATGCTTACTTTACCAGGTGTTATAAGGTATCTTAAGAGAATCTCCAGCCATTTATATGTAGGTAATGTTTAGTTGTATATTCCTTTTAAACCAAATCGATGTCCACCCTGACAGTCTGAACGATGTAGAGGACTGACTTGCTTCTGATTACATTTCAGTCAGATGAAAAGAAAACAGAGATTATAGCCTCAACTGAAATGTACTCAACATTAATTGCTTTTGGAGTCAGTTTTGACTCCAACCTAACACTGGTGAGGTCTAACCCAAGTCTTCTCCACTTCTTCCTGACCACATTTCAGTCACTGCTATGGCACTATTTTCTTTGCTCTCCCTCAATCCCTGCATTCCTCTGGCTGTAATGCAAAGCAGGAGGAAAGCTGCATTAAGGAGGTCAGGGTGGACAGTGCAGCTAGGCCAAGGAGCCGCAGAGGCACTGAGGTCCAGCTGCTAACTTTCGGCTACTGGATTTGAGCGTAATAACAGTGAACTCGGTCGTGTCTGAGCCAAATGTTTCAGGTTAAAGGAGTCATAAAGACTCACTCTGCATCTGCAGTTATTAGATTTGCCAACATTCGGTTCTGATTTAGGGGAGAAGGGAAAAAAAAGAAAAAAAAAAAAGAAAAACGGCAAGAACACAGACTGCAGAAAAAAAGGTGAGCAACAAAATACAGTTTGCCTAAAATTAAGAAAAACAGACATTGGAATGAGATTTTTATCCAAATAAAAATTTAGAATAAAACATTGAGATACAATATCCTAACTATAACACAAAATAAGATCAGATTAAATGGACCTCAAACTACAGGCATGCACTTAAACCTCTAACAAAATGAAAACATGCAGGAATATGCCATACATTTTATTTTATTTCATCAACTTGAATCAACAAATAGAAAATAAAGAAGATGGAGGAGAGTTGTTTGGTGCGGCTGCCATCTGATCTGCACACTGCTCAACATCACGGCTCCACAGACTCGGGCCCCATTAGAACTTCATAAATAGTCATTCTTTATTGTCAGGCATGTGTTTCTGATGAAGCCTTCATTCCAAACTGTTTTAATAAACCAGAACCAACTGATAAAACATCGTTTTGTTGTCACGAGTCTGCTGGGTTAATGCAAGAATCACTTCTTTCCATGTGAGAAGACTGAGCCAGCACAAACAAATACCTCACAACATCATAAGCTAACATTAGTCTGTCCACATCATTACAGAAAAGCCAGAGATTTAGAGAGGAGGGCATGCAGATCAGTACAAACATGAAAATAGACGACACCCTCGCCGGGGGATCCACTTGCCTGTAGCTTGAATGCTTTGGGAGAATCGGGCTGTGCATTTTGGATAAACAAATGCATGTGTTAAAAGGTGAAGTGCTCATGTCGCACACAAGCAACAGAAAACAGAAGAGTAGGAAGCCTGAGCGCTTCGAAGGCTGATGATTGTTACGTCATTTCTTACTTTCTTAAAAAATCAGAGCATGAATGATTAATTTCGCATTTTGAGAAAAACACCCACAATACTTTCAGCAACAGAAGTGAGAACATGTTAGCTTAAAAAATTATAGACGCTAGATTCTGTTTTGATTTGGCCATATGTGCTGAACCGTTGTTATCCTGAAAGATCGTATGACGGCCAATTTTCAGCTCACTGTTAAAATCCATCACATTTTCACTAAAATCACTGGTATTTCACAGATTTCCTAATATAATAAACTCCAAGTTCCCAGGGAGATTAGAAGAGAAAAAAGCCCACATCATCACAGATCCACCACTATGCCCAACTCTTTCTGTAAATTCATTCCTATTTTAATGTTAAACTTGAAGTGATTTTTTTTTTTTTTGGCTTTTGGTTTTGATTTTTCTGAAAAGACCAATATTATTCTCATCTCACTAAATAAGACTGTTTGAGGTAAATGTCAAGGTTACAATTGTCCTAAAAATTGTTGCTATTCAGATGCCATCTAATTGTTGCTACGGATACTCAGTGGTCCAAAAATGTCACCATTTGCAACATTTCTCTTAACAAGTGAGCTTTGGAGATTTTTTTAACTCCCTCGCCATCCTGCTTAATATGAATGTTGGCAAAAAAAAAAGTTTGGGTGATGTAATATTTATACACCAGAGAAACAGGAAGTCCTGGGTTACTAATTAGAAATCATTAGAAATTTTGATTGACTAAAACAAGCAGTTTTGGATAGTTATATCCTAAATAGATGGGGCTTGTGCCACCAGTGACATGTTGAAATTAGGATTTTTTAAATGTTACAGTATCAGATTATGGCTCTTTTGCAGCAGATTTCTTTATTACGAGGCTTTATAAGGCAGCTAATTTACCCGCAGATAGCTGATATGGGATGATTTGCAGGAGCAAAAAAAAAAGGGAAAGGAAGAGAGTAGGGAAATGTCGGCAGTAAGGCTCACAGGAATGTTGTGGTCTTTGCGTCCTTTGTGTGAGGAGGCAACATGGGCCAGGTACTGGATGACCTTCTTTGTGTTTTCCGTCTTGCCCGCTCCTGACTCACCTCTAAAAAGAAGAGTTTAGAAACAGAAACACATAGCGGCCAGTGAAGTATGAATGAAAGAAGAAAGCGGTTCTGCCAAATACCGTTGATATGGGGATGTGTGTAAAGTGTCCAAAGACTTGCAAGTTACAAACAGGAACATTGGAAAACCATGAAAAACATCCCCTAAAATTACTACTATTGTGGTGATGAGTGCCTGGACGAACACCAAAGTCATCAGGATTTTTATATATTTTATATATGCCTTGTTTGTGAGTGTTTGAGTGGAGAATGTTGTGGTCTGCTGAGTCCGTCTCCAACTTTCCAGGCTCTGCTTTTGGGTCGTCTCTAATGATAGCTGTGTACAGGCAGGGCCTTCCACAGTTTCCCACAGTCAGGTCTCGGAGCCAAGAGCAAAAACCCGGCCAGCAGCACTACATCCAGCTACATGCCAGTGGTTTTAGTGTAGCTGCTCATTAGTTCTACTGCACATAGTACACTGAGGTTTTTAGATGCTTCACTAGAATCCGAGGGGCGAGTCCTCGAAGGCAGAATGTAGGTCAAATTAAGCATCATTCTGTATTTGGTTTTAGGTTTTAAAGTTTCACAGCGAATCTGGAGTATGACTCCAGGAAATAATTCACAGATTATTGTAAATATTTCTGAAACTCTGCCTTCAGGACGTCGTGACAACATGACTCTTCTATCAACCCTCTAACAATGTCTTTACCAGTGTTGCATTGAGAAGCAGGTCCTATAATGAGCTCAGCAGATGCTCCACCAGGAGTTTGCTAATTGCTGCTGGCTAGTCTGAAGGAGCTGAGTGGGTGAATCGCTATAGGAGGGCTGCTCTGTGAGGCAGAAGCTTGGAAACTGCAGCTCCAAAGAGGCGTTTTCCACAGCTGAAAGGTTGCCATGGAGATTCAAGGATTTCTCAAACATGTATGAAATACCTGGCAACGCTCCAGGTCTGTATTTGATGAGGGAATAGACTTAGACTAATTTTATTGTCACTGCACAAAGACACAACAGTGAGATTGGCAACGAAATGCCGTTATGGCATTACGTTATAACTTTATATCATCTTATAGTATTATAACATAATTCAACAAAGTGAATTTTACATGACACTGCCTCTTTAAAATCCTAAGAAACTACAAGTTAACATCAGTAAAACATTTATGAACAAGGATAAAATACTAAAATTACAGAAAACCCATCAGACTATAATATACTCCCACAACATTCTTTTATACTGAAATTAATGGTTGATGCATAGAAACCTTTTAAATGGACAGATTGTTAGGGAGAATCCTGGTGCAGATAACTGAGACATTTTGGCAGTAAAAACTCTTTTGGTAAATAACAAAAAGCTGCAACAACATGACTGGCTTCATGCTGATTATTTTCAAACTTTTAGGGGATCCGCAGACATTTGATCAGGCGGTTTGGGGCTCCATGAATCACTTCATTGAGTTACTCTAGATGCTGTAGTTCCTGTAGGTTTCTCCAGACTCATCCACATTGCAGTCACTGAACGATTGTAGAGAAACTGATTTATTACCACCAACAAGGGAAGCTATTTTCAGCGTGGGTTTTGATGTCACTGGCAACACATGCCAAGCTGAAAGAAAGTGCCACTTAATGACGCTCTGACGTAGAGGTTGAGGGCGGGCCACCAAACCACACTCATAACTCCCTCAGTATTTGGCAGAACCGCTGAACAGACCCGCATCCGCAAAACCAACTATTTGTAACTCATCTTTAAATAAAACCCAGCAGGACGATGGGCATAGAGGGAGATGGAAAAGGGCTTTAATGAGAGAAAACAGAACCACATTAAAAAGAAGAAAGACATCCTGAAGTTCAGTTTTTTTTTTTAAGCCACTCTTTTTATGACGTTTTAAGTTATAAATACAGGCAGTGCAAGGACATGAACCGAGGTCAGAAGGTAAGAATATTAGGTGATAAATAATCTCTATCTGTTGAAGGTTCATTTACCAGCCCACTGAGCAGCTCCAGAACTAGAACCAAGTAGGAAACATTAACCAGCTGTCCTCAGACACGACCTTGGGAATAAAGCAGAGAAAAGACGAGGGCTGTACTCACGTGCAAAGAATCGATTGGTCCTCTCGATCTGTGAAGGAAAAGGAAAACTGTCAGTATTTCTGGTTCAACCACAACAACAAACATGTTCTACTGATCCAGCTGTGGATCCATAATTCATGATGACAGATAATACTGCAACTATTACCATACCTGGGTTTACTTGTTCTACAGCTACAACTAGCAATTATTTTAGTTATCGATACTCTATCGATTAGTCTGATAATTGGCACAATCTGCAGATTTTTATGTAACCACTTTCTCATATTTTATAGAATATGAGAAATGCATTAAAATATGCAAATAAACTAATATTAATTTAAGTAAATTAACATTTTATTATCTAAAATCCAGTTTCATAGTATTACTTTAGTGAATGCTTGATCATTTGTAGCAAAGTCATAGGGCTGTTCTGTTGATTATATTTTAAATTAACTTTATATCAGATAGAAAAAGGTGCTTGGTGGTAGATCTATTTATTTTTATTTTTATTTACAGAATTTGATCAGGTGAAGCTAAAATTGCCACTTGAGTAGTTTTGGGTAAAACATATACAGTCAAAGATGGCTTGTTTTTTTTCCTCTCTTAAATGCAAAATGTTTATATTTTTTCATACAATTTTGGCTTAATTATACTATATATTATATTTTCTTTCAGCAAATAGCCTGTTTTTTTTAGTCTCTTTACTCCAGCTCCATTAATAAATTATGAATAGATGACATCCTAACTTGATGCTTCAAAGTTGGGCTTACTGAGTGTTGACAGTGTGTTTTACAGCCGCCGCTCAGCCTGGCACAGAAACTCTAAAGGTCAAAGCCGTGCTGCGTGCTGACCCGACGCTGACTGCCAGAGCAGTAACCAAAGCTCAGACAGCTTTCATCTCCGCAGACTTCCCTCCAGGTCCAACTGACAGGTTTAGTGTTGCCCCCTGAAACGGGTAAACTCTCAACTCTAAAACACCTCCTGTGCACCACAGTAAACTTTAAAGACAACATTCAACAAGAAGACAACGTGTTTGATACGTTCAACGTACCGACCGCCGTTTCTCATTTCACTAATGAGCGCGCAGGATGATTACAGTGGGGAAAACATTTCTTTTACATTGTTTTGGTTACTTTGTCCTAAGTTTTGTTTATAGGCATATTGGCAATTAAAAGAGCCAACAGTAGAATATTTTATTTCATCAGGTAATTTTAATTTGTATCAACAAGCACATTAAATAAACCTTGAACTACTTATCTAAATACAAGATAATGTCTCAATAAATTTCAGGTACTGTCCTGGAGATCCCGATCCATGCATTTTCAAATAATTATAATCTGAGTCCCCAAAGAGTCTGAGTACTAAAAATCTCAAACTGCATTGCTTGAAATACAGCAATAGAGGCTTTGGACAATATCCTGGTAATCTAGCAAATCTAGTTTTCTACACCAATATGTGTTTTTCACCTTTTTACAATGACAAACGTATCGAATGGAAGAGGAGTGTAATGCCTACAGCTCCCTGTCTGTGTCATTTGACCTTTCCTGTCTGCTGCGCTCAGATGTCCCAGCCGTCACAGAAAGCAGCTGAAATGCCATCATTGAACTTTATGGCATTTAAAGCAAAGAAAAAATGTTATGAAGCAGGAAAACAGTGTCTTTCCAAGTTCAGTCCACATAAGGTTATGTGGACTAAAGTCTTGGTGGACATTCACTGAAACATGACCCAGAACAGCTTGGCTTTGTAATACACAGATCAAAACGGACAAACATGCTAACATTAGCCTAGCATTTCTCAAACAGCAACACTGGATCACCGTATTGAGACAACAGTTAGGATACAATATTGCATAATGTAATAAATCTCTGGCTTATTGACTCTGGTACCGTGTGAAAAATTCTGATAGAAATAATTTTTTTAAAAACATCTCGTGTTCAAATGATGTTATGTGCTAGCAACTGAAGGCAGATGCTAACACATACATGTTCATGGTAAAAGACATTGCAGACAGGCTTTGTGTTGAGCTGTAAACGTCCCATCGAATGAACGTGTCCTTGAAAGCCTCATGATCTGAGCGGGTTACCAGAACTGACAGATCCACAGACATTTCCTCACACCTTCCTGGTGGCTCAGACAGCTTTAAGGTGTTATCTTTCACCAGAAATATGACCTTTTACTCAAACACTGAAGTGTAAACCCCCGGGTAAGCGGCTAAGGTTTGTAACTAAGGTGGCACAACTTTCGAAAATCTTGTGATTGTTGTTATAACTTTGGTAAATACTGCGATGACAAGATCAGTTGTGATATCGGTCGTATGTCTGAGACCCTGTCCAACTGATTAAATATTACATTACCGTGTAAAATTAAAGTTTTTAACATTTGGGATATATTAGTCAACAATTTCTGCACCCAAAACAGGCTGTTGTGATATGATTATCACACACACTGATGATGATATGCCCAGACTACCTTTTAACAAGTAAATCTGCCTAACTGTGTACATCAGATTATTATCCAATAAAAACGTTTCCATTTCCAATGAAGGTCTGTTTGTACAGTGAACGTAAACCAGTCAGGTTGACACATCTGCAAAAATACTAAGAATAAAACTTGCAAGCTTGTCTTCTGAATGATGAATGAGCTGCTTATTTTAAAATGTGCTGCGTCCCTTGATAACAAAGCTTTATTACTTTTCCTGTTCTTATTTTGTAGGCAGCTCTCCACAGGCCTGATGGTGATCAAATGTTTGGGAGACTGTGAAATCCACAATATGCTAATCAAAGTCACATCATCAGCTAAGAATTACATGATTGAGCAGAAGAGGAATTTAATCACTAACCTCATCCTCTGACACTCACATATGTTTATAATCTTTTAAAAAAAAAACAAATTCCTCTGTGACTAATTTAACAGATTTGACCTTCGGTGCTAAAAAAAAAAAAAAATCAAAAATGTTCCGTTAATGGAAGAAAGTCCCCACATACTCTTGTGAGGTTTAATAAAATAGTTTTATGAAAACAATCCTTCTGATTTTGTAGAAAACAGAGCTGAACCGTAAGTGGCTGTAAGAGTAATAACAGCTCTACTAAATTATTCTCATTTATACTTTTAGGAAGCTAACTTAAAGTAAAATAAAAATATTCTTTGAATGTAACTTATCAGATGGAAATGATCCATGGAAACACTTGGTTCTGTTTGATGTGTGTATCTAATATGTGCTGGTTCTTTGTACTTGGATCATGTTCAGTCACATCGCAAAGTAATTTGTTTTGCCATGTTACAAAGATTCAGGTACTTAATCGATGCAGCGTTTGTTATTTGACTAATCATGAGAGATGAACAAAAAATAGTGTAGAAAGTGTGCGTTGTTTTGGAAAAATGTTTATAGAAAATCTAAAAAGTGCGGTGTATTTATAGTGAAATTATAAAACCACTGCAAATCTATTTATGTACGTCTACCAGCTTTCGGCATCTATTGGGTGGAAGTTTTGCCTATTTTGATTTAGCTGAAGTTCAGTCGGATGGACCAACACCTCCACCTTTAGATCAGGTCACAGAGTCATAAATATTAAAATTCATACTGGCCAACTCTGGCTACCCCTATGAACATTTTACAGAGGCACTACAGCATAATTTCAAATTATTTGCGTAAAAATGAGTCTTTTTGTTGATTTTTTTTTATAGATCATGTCTAAAATATTCAAAAGAAATGCAGCTTTTGAAGCTGAAATATCTAACATTGGATTGGATTGACGTTTGCAAACCAGCCAATCCAGAAGCAGCGTTCATGCTCCTTGATGCTGATTGGGTGGACCGCAAGAGCAGAGACAAGGAAGACCATCCGAAGATGCTTTCCACTGTGCGTATATTAATGCATGTCGATGTATATCAGGGGTTTGAACTATTAAAACAGGAAGTTATAAGCTTTTTGGGGTCTAAAAGTTCAGCTTTGATTTCATCTGTTCAACCTCCTTCCACATGTTTGTTGTCTCTCTTACAAACTGCAAACATCTTATACTTTTCTTTTTTTGCCAATCTTCCATAAAGGTCTGAATCTCAAAAACAATATACCACATCTAGTTCAGAACTACTCTCTACTTTGTGTTGGTCTGTCGTATAACATAGTAAACATGCAGAAAAAGCTCAAATAATGTTGCAGGCCGCTGTGGAGAAGCCCCTGGATCCAGTTTACCCAGAATGCCTTGCTAGCAAGGCTGGAGTGAACCAATAAAACAGAACACGTTCCTCCCTTCCAGTAGCTTATTACCGCCTCAGTAAATCTTCTCTCCTTTTGTGTTTCACCTTTCCCTCAGTTGCCCTCATTTCCTTTTTTTTTTTTTTTTTTTTTTTTCCCCCTGAATGGGGGGAGGGGGGATTTCCCCTAAAACTACCACCCTGACTAAAGAGATTAGAAACATGCCGTTTCTCTGCAACAGATGGTTTTCATTTGAGCACCATTATTGGTTTTAGCTTCTTTTATAATTTCCTCTACAACTCGCAGCCAATTATTCAGGCAGACTGATGAACTTTGAAAACAAAGTCCCTGATACGAAACTGCGGCATATATCAGGGCCTAACGTTAGCAGGAAGTTACAAAAACAATGTTTTTTTTGTTTTGTTTTGTTTTGAGATTATGCAGCATTTCCAGATGTAGAGAGCACAGGTGGCCGTAAATGTCAAAGCGCAGGCTAATACAATAATGTAGGTACTTCTTGAATTTCATTGGACGCCATGTCAAGCTTTGTGACTTGTTGACAGATGTACAGTCATGGAACATAAATCTGTTCTTTATTATATTTTTTGCCATTTAGAGTTCCCTTTTCTGCTAAATAATCTATTCCAAGTCATGAATTTCCTTCTTGCAGCCACTCACCACTAAACTGGAAGGAAATTCTAAGAAAGAAAAACAAACTAAAATATTTGGTTGTAAGTAGAGTTAATTACACATGATTTGTTTTAAATGTGCTAATGTCTTTAATTTGTTGCTAAACACTGTGACTTCAGATGGGCAGATCGTGAAATTGCCTTCGGCAGCCGCGGATCGTGGAT